AGGGAGGTACTACCGTCCTGCCAAGTGAGTGTAAAACAGAGGCCTGTAATTGTTTTACATAATGGTAGGATTGCTGGTGTCCTTTTTTCCGTCTCAAACATGCAAAATTTCAGGTACGTCTTGCTACTTCTACTTACACTTAGGTCACACTACACAAACATGTACAAGCATATATACGCACACCCCTCTGGGTTTTCTTCTATTTACTTTCTAGTTCTTTTTTATTTCCTCATCTCCATGGAGAAGTGGAACAGAATTCTTCCTCAGTAAGCCATGCGTGTCGTAAGAGGCGACTAAAATGCCGGGGGCAAGAGACTAGTAACCCCTTCTCTTGTGTATATTACTAAATGTAAAAGGAGAAACTTTAATTTTTCCTTTTGGGCCACCCCGCCTAGGTGGGATAAGGCCGGTGTGTTGAAAGAAAGAAGTTGTTCAATATTTGCATTAGATTAGATATGAGAATTTATTGAACTTTGAGCATTTAATTATGGGGTCCTAAGGCTAGGGGAGTTACACAGTGAGTAATGATATTTTGAGGCAGTAGAAAGTGACTTGTTAAGTACATGTATGTAGGTAAAGTTAAATTAAGTACTGTGTGTACATCAGACAGTCATCCCCCTGAGTATTTAGCCATGATATATTGTGTGGACACTGCTGGCCTTAGATTTTCTCAAAAGTATGAATGGATGGAATAAGACACAATGCATTGCCCTGAGGTAAAAAATACAGGCAGGTGGCAGATTTATGTTAACAAAAAATGGCTAGGACAGTCCCAGCACCTGCGTACCAGTACGTCACACACAGTTAAAGGGTTAATATATTTTAGTCCTTAGCTTATACAGCCTCTCCTCACTTAATGACAGGGTTCTGTTCTTAAGATTACATCATTAAACGAATTCGTCGCTAAGCGAGAAGCATACTATAATGGTAGTGGGCTTCTGTCAATTATCTTTAATAATGTTTTAATGTCACCTTTGCATCATTTATAACATTTCTGGTATATTTTTAAATGTTCATACAGTAGTGTACTGTATATTGAAATAGCGTATACAAGTGGAAGAAGTTCCAAGTTCTAGTTGCCGTCTGCTCAAAATGTCCAGAATAACCAGGGCATTTAGAAAATGAAAAAAAGATAAATTTCACTTAACCCTTTCAGGGTCCAAGGCCCAAATCTGGAGTCACGCACCAGTGTCCAAGAATTTTAAAAAAAAAAATTTGTTATTTTTTCTTATGAAATCGTAGAGAATCTTTTTGTGAAGGTAATAAAACAAAAAGTACGAAATTTGGTGGAAAATTGACGAACTTATGCTCTCGCGAATTTTGATGTGTCAGCGATATTTACGAATCGGCGATTTTGCCGACTTTGACTCCCATTTTAGGCCAATTACATTATTCCAATCAACCAAATTCTTAGCTATTTCACTAGTATTACTTCTATTCTATCGATTGAGCACAAGAAATCGCCAAGTCAACTGTTGCAACTACAAAATAAAGTGATCGGAAATTGTTAATTTGGACAATTTAACACAAAGTTCAAAATATTCCAATTTCAAAATAGGGTCCAGAATAAACAATGTAGGCATTCCTGGCACTAAACTAACATTTCCTCTGTTCATTAGTCATGTTTTGAGGCTTTACAAATAAATTCCATTTTGATTTTTTATTCACATAATGAATTTTTATTCACACCAAAAAATAGAAGATTTACTGCTATGCAATACTGTAATAATTGTATAAATATCATCACCATATTTGTGAATGTATATTAGACCCACTAGCTGACGTGTATTAGACGTGTGAGGTCGTTTGTTTTCTCTTGAATATCGGCAAAAATTTAACATTTCCGCTACTTTGAGCTCAGTTTCAAGCCATTTCCAGTGCTAAAACCAATCAAAATCATCTCTATTTCTGTAATATGTCTTCCATTCTATCAAATGAGACCAAGAAATCGCAAATACAACTATAAAAATCATACGAAAAAACACTGCAAAGTTGCTGTTTTAATCAAAAAATCATGATTTCAGTTTTTTTCTCTCATTATACACAGTGTGCTGCAGGATCTGTTTTATGTGGTGCACACATACCACATAGATGTATTCTCTCATATCTAGGCCCAAATGTACCACTCACAGTTTATCAGAGTGAGCTGAGCTCATGGCGTAGATCTACGGTTTGGACACTCACCATAAAGCCGTAGATCTACGGGACGGACCCTGAAAGGGTTAATTTTGCAATAATGTTATTTTTTTATTATTCTTAACACATCGGCTGTCTTCCACCAAGGCAGGGTGGCCCGAAAAAAAAAAAATTATCATCACTTACTCCATCACTGTCTTGCCAGAGGGGTGCTTTACACTATAGTTTATAAAACTGCAACATTAACACCCCTCCTTCAGAGTGCAGACACTGTACTTACCATCTCCAGGACTCAAATCCATCCTGCCAGTTTCCCTAAATCCCTTCATAAATGTTACCATGCTTACACTCCAACAGCATATCAAGTCCTAAAATCTATTTGTATCCTTTCCTTTCTATCTAACACACTCACGCATGCTTGCTGGAACTCCAAGCCCCTTGCACACAAAACCTCCTTTACCCCGTCCCTCCAACCTTTCCTAGGCCAACCCCTACCCCTCCTTCCTTACACTACAGATTTATACACTCTCAAAGTCATTCTATTTTGTTCCATCCTCTCTACATGTCCAAACCATCTCAATAACTCATCCTCAGCCTTCTGGATAATAATTCTGGTAATCCTGCACCTCCTCCTAATTTCCAAACTATGAATTCTCTGCATTATATTCACACGACACATTGCCCTCAGACATGACGTCTCCACTGTCTCCAGCCTTCTCCTTGTTGCAACATTCATTATCCATGCTTCACACCCATAGAGCATTGGTATAACTCTACTCTTATACATTCACCTCTTTGCTTCCACGGACAAAGTTCTCTGTCACCACAGACTCCTAAGTGCACCACACACGTTTTTCCCATCATCAATTCTATGATTCACCTCATCTCTCATAGACCCATCTGACTCGTCCATTCGTAAATATCAGAATACATTCACCTCCTCCATACTCTCTCCCTCCAATCTGATATCTAATCTTTCAATACCCAATTTTTTCGTTATCCTCATCACCTTACTTTTTCCTATATTCACTTTTAATTTTCTTCTTTTACATGCCCTACCAAACTCATCCACCAACCTGTGCAACTTCTCTTCAGAATCTCCCAAAAGCACAGTGTCATCCACAAAGAGTAACTGTGACAACTCCGACTTTGTGTTAGATTCTTTATCTTTTAACACCACACCTCTTGCCAACACCTGAGCATTCACTTCTCTTACAACCCCAACTATAAACACAGTGGACCCCCGCTTAACTATCACCTCCCAATGCGACCAATTATGTAAGTGTATTTATGTAAGTGCGTTTGTACGTGTATGTTTGGGGGTCTGAAATGGACTAATTTACTTCACAATATTCCTTATAGGAACAAATTCGGTCAGTACTGGCCTGAACATACTTCTGGAATGAAAAAAATATCGTTAACCGGGGGTCCATTGTATATTCAACAACCACGGTGACATCACACATCCTTTTCTAAGGCCTACTTTTACTGAGAAATAATCTCCTCTCCTACATACTCTAACCTGAGCCTCACTATCCTCATAAAAATTCTTCACTGCTTTCAGTAACCTACCCCCTATACCATACACCTCCAACATCTGCCACGTTGCCCCCACTATCCACCCTGTCATATGCCTTTTCCCAATCCATAAATGCCACAAAAACCTCTTTACCTTTATCTAAATGCTGTCCACCTAAATGTTTCACTGTAAACACTTGGTCTACACACCCCCCTTACCTTTCCTAAAGCCTTCTTGTTCATCTGTTATCCTACTCTCCAACTTACTCTTAATACACCTTATACCATACACCTTACCAAACATACTCAACAGACTTATTCCCCTATAATTTTTGCACTCTTTTGTCCCCTTTGCCTTTATACGAAGGAACTATGGATGTTCTCTGCTAATCCCTAGGTACCTTACCCTCTTTTATACATTTATTAAATAAAAGCACTAACCACTCCAAAACTAAATCCCCACTGCTTTTAACATTTCCGTCTTAATCCCATCAGTCCCAGCTGCCTTACCCCCTTTCATTCTACCCACTGCCTTACAAACTTCCCACACACTCGCATTATTATTATTATTAAAATCAAAGGGGAGCGCTAAATCCGTATAGGATTATGCAGCGCCTATGAGGGAATGTGGAAGGTATTCAGACTTAATTCAGGGAACTGGAGCACAGATCCAATTCCCTAGATCAAGAGCCCCTCTCTAACATCAGGGAACCTTCCTTGAGAGGCCCACACTCACAACTCGCTCCTCCTCACTCCAAGATGTTATTCCTCCTTGCCCTATAGTTATGTATATTTTAGAAACAATATTTTGTATTTTTAAATGACAAATTTTGTTAAAATATATTTCTTTGGCCCAGATAACATTATCCTGGCTAAGTTTTAAACTAAACTTACTTAAAAGTGGTACAACAACTAGTAAAAACAGATAACAATGGATCATGAAAAAGTGCTAAACCAATATGGGTGGAAGAGCACATGGTATATGGGAGACAAAGATTCAATCTGAGGGTAGCTTCAAGTAATAGAATATTTCATTAACACTAAAGGCATGCATTTATTATTATTTTATCCACTGAGACGTATTAAAGTTATTGTGATGAATGGTTTTGAAAACTGACAAGTTGAAGATTGAGACACTTATGCACCATATGGGAATCTTTATTTAGGAAACGTTTCGCCACACAGTGGCTTCATCAGTCCAATACAAAGTCTGATGAAGCCACTGTGTGGCAAAACATTTCCTAAATAAATATTCCCGTATGGTGTATAGGTGTCTCAATCTTCATTAAAGTTATTGGAGTTATAGAACATTAGCAATGAGAGGGAACAAAATAAGTATGACTGACCTCTTCATGAATGAGGTTATTCTGTTCTCTAAGACTGAGTAACTCCTCTTGTAAGGCACGAATAGTTTCCTCTTCTTCCTCTTCATGAAGAGCTTGCAGCTGCTTCTTCAGACTGTCCACTTCCTCCACCAGACGATCTCTCTCTCCCTTCAAGATCCCTATGTCATGCTTGTGGCTGTCACACAGGTCCCTCAGGTCGTTATATTCTGTAAACATGGAGTTGTAAGCGGCCTTTAAGGTGCTATGGGTGTAGGAAAGCTCCTTTAATTCTTCATTGATCTTCTCTTTCTCCTTTTTAACCAAGGTATGCTCAGTGTCCAGCTCTATGTACGAAGACTTATAATTATTGATGTCACCTTCAGCTTTGGACTTGGCCTCTCTCAGTTTCTCTATTAAGGATTGGAAGGACTCGTTATCACTACTGAGACTTTCAACTTTGTCTTCAAGTTCTTCAGTTAAACTTTGTAATCTTTCATTCTCAGACTTCAATATATTTATTTCCTGATTGAGAGATGTGACATGTGCTCTCAAGGTCTCCACTTCCTCAGAATCTTTCAAGTCTGGTGCAGGTGGGACTGTCAAGGATGTGAAAGTATTTTCCTGTGTCTGGTGCTGCTCTACTACCTCTTCCAGCTCTGATATCTTCCATTCCAGAGCCTGCAACTGAGCTTCCAGTTCCTTATTGCGAGCTTTCAAAAGCTTGATGGTAGTGTCTTGGTCTTCCTTGAGTTCAAGGTAGTGCTCCTGAGCTGCAGTGAGAACATCCACTTGATTAGTTAAGTGTTCCTTCTCATTCTCAGCTTCATCTAGTTTCTGTTTAAGTTCATCTCTCTCGGTTTCTGCTCTTGCCACTTGTGTCTTCCACTCTTCCTCAAGAGCTTGATCAAGGTCAGAGAAGCCTCCAGCTTTAGCTTTTAATTTCTGCACTTCTTTAACTAAAGTTTCATTCTTAGCTTGTGTCAGCTTAAATTTTTGCAACATTTTTCCACTCTTCATTTTGGATGCCTGTAACTCATCATACAGTTGATTTTTTTCCTTTTCTAATGCAATCACTTTAGCTTTAAGAGAATCTATTTCTTCTTGGTACTTCATGTCTACAGATGATGATTTAATTAGATGTTCATTCTCTATTCTGCCCTCGACACCCCAGTCAACCTCCTCCACCACTAAACTGTGGGGTTCTGACTCTGAGGTATTTTTACTCCTTGCACCAGTTTCTATGGTAGCAACCTGAGTTTGCAACTCATTGTATTTCAATTCAAGATCGTTATACTGAGAGTCGAGAAGCTTGAATCTCTCAATTTCAGCTTTCAGGCGTGTTATCTCAGACTCTTCTGAAGTGCTCACCTCTGTCAGCCTCTGGATTTCATCACGCAAATGTTCATTTTCAGAAGTGATGGTCATATTCTGAGCGGTAATTCTTTGTACTTCACTTTCTAAACTTTCTTTCTCAGCTTCTCTCATCTGATTTATTTGAGATAATGCTTCATATTCTCCCCTCGCTCTATTGTTATCCGTCTCAAGAACCTCATAGTCACCTCTTAACCTCTCGTGTTCACCTTCCATGACCTCCAGTTCACTACGTAACTGGTTGTTCTCGCGTTCTGTTCTATCTAGCTCACTCCTCACTCTCGTTACTTCTTCATCTAGATCTCGATTCTCCCGTCCAAGTCGAGTCATTTCAGCCTTGTAACAATCTACTCCATTCTGAAACTTCACAATTTCTTCCTTTAAATCTTCACTTTTAGCCTGAAGTTTCAGAACTTCAGCCTTGAAAGTCTCTCCTTCATTCTGAAACTTTATACTTTCAGCTCTATGTAAATCAACTTCAGTTTGTAATCGTACGCTTTCATTCTTATAAACATCTGCCTCGTGCTGCAGGCGTGTCACGTCAAGCTTGAGTTTTGTCATCTCTGCTCCGAGGTCCTGAGCATCTGTCTCCAGCCGCTCTCGGTCAGTCTCCACCGCCTGGCCAGCCTGATTCAGCACCTCAATCTCGTTTCTTAATCTGGAAATCTCAGACTCTGCCGACTGAACCATGAGTTCTAGCTCCTGGACACGAGACTTGGACCCTTCACGTTTGGTCTCCGACTCCTGTATACACGACTGTAGTTCGCCATACAGTACCTCAACTTCAAGCAAACGAGTTCGTTCAGTTTCAGCTTCAGCTAGTTTGCTCTGCATGGCTGTGCACTGAAAACAAGTAAGTCAAAATTAGTATCACACTAAAAAAAAAAAAAAAAAAAAAGCTTGAATTATTATTATAATCATGGAGGAGCAATATTATTATAATCATGGAGGAGCATTATAAAGTTGCTTGCAACTTGGTGATGGCTCAAGACTAACTGAAAAGCTGTCTCAAGTTACATCCTCAAAGTGTGAATTAGCTGTGAAGTTTGAATGAGTTTGTTACATTGTATTAACACAGGGTGTAATTTGTTAGGAAAATTAAAATTTAAGCCACAACTTATGCTCCATCATAAGTACATTCTCTGCACTGTTAGGAATGTTAGTTTTCCTTCAGTGACAATAAAGCAGATTAATATAAACCACTGAGAAATGCTAAAACCATAGTGCTGACACACTACCTAAAAAACAGTGTGTAACAGGAGGAAACAGTGGTGGGGAACAAGTGTGAGTCTGTGAGCTGGTATTTACCTTCTTACCAGGAGTGATGAGGGACTTTGTAAGTTAAATAGCTTTCAAATACTGAAACTTACTTCACTATAGGAATAATTTAATACAGAAGAAAGGAATCTAGCAGCACATTTTTCAGTTAAGTATCTAAAATACATTAACCTTCACTGACAGAAGTCTGGTGAGCAGATGAAACTGTACAACACAGCAAGCATGAAACAAACTCTCATGCAGCAGAGAGAGGTGCAGCGCCAGCTTCTGTGATGGCACAACACCGCCACAAAACTTGCTATGTGTAGTTTTCTCAAGTTGTTCTACAAAACATTGCACTGCAACTTCATACTCTCTTCATAACAGTAAACTCTTCCATGGTGCATCTTTGTATCAGGTTTTTAATGGAATGCTGCTGCACAGCTTTGGTCACCGTACTGCAGAATGGATATACGGTGGACCCTCGACCAACGATGGCATCGATTAACGATAAATCCGACCAGCGATACATTTTAATGCAAAAATTTTGCCTCAACTAGCGCTAACAAACTCGACCAACACTATTCGTTCAGTCTGAGATGCGTCCACTTCTGGCCAGTGTTTACAAGCCAGCCAGCCACCGCGGTCACTTCCAAGCATACAATCGGAACATTTCATATTATCACAGCCTTTTTAGTGATTGCACCTGCAAAATAAGTCACCATGGGCCCCAAGAAAGCTTCTAGTGCCAACCCTACAGCAAAAAGGGTGAGAATTATTATGGATATGAAGAAAGATCATTGCTAAGTATGAAAGTGGAGTGCGTGTCTCCGAGCTGGCCAGGTTGTACACAAAACCCCAATCAACCATCGCTACTATTGCGGCCAAGAAAACGGCAATCAAGGAAGCTGTTCTTGCCAAAGGTGCAACTATGTTTCCGAAACTGAGATCGCAAGTGATAGATGATGTTGAGAGACTGTTATTGGTGTGGATAAACGAAAAACAGATAGCAGGAGATAGCATCTCTCAAGCGATCATATGTGAAAAGGCTAGGAAATTGCATGAGGATTTAATTAGAAAAATGCCAGCAACTAGTGGTGATGTCAGTGAATTTAAGGCCAGCAAAGGTTGGTTTGAGAGATTTAAGAATCGTAGTGGCATACTTAGTGTGATAAGGCATGGTGAGGCTGCCAGTTTGGACCAAAAAGCAGTGGCATTAAAAGAAGAAGGGAAGTAGCCCCGAAAAAGGACTTGCCACCTCAAGTCCTAATGGAAGGGGATTCCCCTTCTAAACACTAACACCATCAACACTCTCCCCTCCTCCCATCCCATCAATCATCACCAGATCTTCAATAAAGGTAAGTGTCATGCAACTGTGCATGTCTTCTTCAATTTGTGTGTATTTAAATTAATATTTCATGTGGTAAAAAAAATTTTTTCAATACTTTTGGGTGTCTTGCACGGATTAATTTGATTTCCATTATTTCTTATGGAGAAAATTAACTCGACTAACGATAATTTCGATTAACAATGAGCTCTCAGGAACGGATTAATATCGCTGGTCAAGGGTCCACTGTACACTGGAAAAAGTACAGAGGAGGATGACAAAGTTAATCCTATGTATCAGAAATCTTCCCTATGAGGATAAACTGAGGGCCCTGAATCTGCACTCTCTAGAAAGGCGTAGAATTAAGAACTTTTTAACTGACAGGCATTTCCGTGTTTGGGTTAATAATGTGCTCTCGCCGGACTTTATCCAAGCTGAAGGTGTCCCCCAGGGATGTGTTCTGAGCACAACACTTTCTCCTTGCTATTAATGATTTGGCCTCTAGTCTTCCATCAAATATTTGGTCATCACTATGTTGATGACTTCGCTATTGCCTGTGCAGGCGCTGACTGTCACCTCATTACAGTTTCTCTCCAGCATGCAGTCGACCGTGTTTCCAATTGGGCCACCACACATGGGTTTAAATTTTCCAGCACTAAAACCCACCAAATTACTTTCACTAGACACTCTATCATCTCAGATCATCCTTTGTACCACTATGGCTCCCGTATCCCTGAATGTGATAGTCAAGTTTCTGGGCCTCCTCTTTGATCGTAGGTTATCCTGGAAACCTCACATTACCTCTCTGAAGGCAACTTGTCACAGCCGGCTGAACTTTCTTAAAACCCTTGCTCATCTTTCATGGGGAGGTGATCGTCGAACCCTCCTTCGCCTACATTCCACCCTTATTTTATCGAAACTTGATTATGGTGACCAGATCTATTCAGCGGCATCTCCTGCTACTCTCTCTAGCCTTTACCCCATTCATCACCAAGGATTACGTTTGTGCCTTGGTGCTTTTCGCTCTTCCCCTGTCGAGAGCCTCTATGCAGAAGCGAACGTTCCATCCTTATCCAATCGCCGTGATGCCCATTGCCTTCGCTACTATGTATGCTCTCATGATCTCCGCAATCCTTCCATTTATAGAATGGTCTTCTGACGGCATAGGATTCGCAGCAGTGTTTCCAGACAGCGTCGTACGAGGGCATTTACTATCTTCGGCTAGTATTTTTACTGCTGAATTGTATGCCATCCTTGCAGCACTTATCCGTATTGCATCTATGCCTGTGTCATCATTTGTGGTTGTCTCAGACTCCCTTAGTGCTTTACAGGCTATACAGAAATTTGATGCACCCCACTCCTTAGTCCTTCGTATCCAACTTTGGCTACGCCGCATCTCTACCAAGCATAAAGATATTGTTTTTTGTTGGGTCCCTGGTCATGTTGACGTATAGTACAATGAACAGGCAGACACTGCTGTGCGGTCAGCTGTACATGACCTACCAGTTTCATATAGAGGTGTTCCATTTACGGACTATTTTGCTGCAATAGCTGCCCACCTTCACACTCGTTGGCAACAACGTTGGTCTACTCTACTCGGTAACAAACTTCAATCTATTAAACCGAGTATAGGTTACTGGCCGTCTTCTTGTCACCAGTGCCGAGGTTGGGAGACTACTCTCTCCCGTCTCCGGATTGGCCATACTCGTCTTGCTCATGGATTTCTCATGGAGAGGTGCCCTGCTCCTCTCTGTGAGAATTGTCAGGTTCCATTATCGGTCAGGCACATTCTGTTAGACTGCCCACTTTATCAACGAGCACGCAGAATTTACCTCCGTCGTCGTCTTTGCTCCGCTGCTCTCTCTTTACCTTCCCTTCTCACTGATGGACCCACCTTTCATCCGGACTCTCTCATTGACTTTTTGACAACAACTGACTTACTTCACAAACTCTGATGATACCTTCAGCCCTTTCTACCTCGATCTCTTGCTACCCTCTACCCTGCACTATCCCCTGCCCCGCTGTTTTCTGTAACCTACTGATCGCCCCTCCCCCCTTCTGCAGCCCAATACCCTCGCTTCCTTTCCTACCCTGCAGCGCTGTATAGCCCTTGTGGCTTAGCGCTTCTTTTTGATTATTATAATAATAAAACTACACAACGTCTTAGCTTGTATAACGGTACTCGGGAGTTTGTTCTAATCATCCACAACTCTTACTAAACCAGTACTTTTATATATCCTTCCTGAATCTAAATTTTTCCAGCTTAAAACCATTGCTGTGAGTGCTGTCTAGGCTAGATATTTTTAGCACATTATTTACATCCCCTTTATTCATTCCTGTTTTCCATTTGTACACCTCAGTCATATCCCCCCTTAATTAAGGAAGGATGGTAGATTGCCTCGAAGGCCTAAGGAGTGGGCTTGGGCTAAAATATTATACCTCCAAGTTGTGTCATATGCCTTCTCAAGGTCAAAAAATATGGCAATAACTGAGTGGTTATTCGCAAAGGCATTACAAACATACGTATCCAAGCGTAGTAAGGGGTCTATGGTAGAACGTCCCTTACGAAAGCCATATTGATGAGTGGAGAGACTGTTGTGTGTCTCTAAATACCACACTAAATGTCTATTTACTAGGCGTTCCATCACTTTGCAAACTGCACTGGTAAGAGCAATGGGACGATAGTGGGAGGTTTCATGTCCCGTAGTGCCTGGTTTGCGGAAAGGAAGAACAATGGCAGATTTCCACAGCTGTGGAAGAACTCCTTGTGACCAAATAAGATTGTAAAGGCGTAATAGGACTGCAAGGGCTGACTGATGTAAATGTTGTAGCATACGAATATGAATGTCGTCGGGCCCAGCTGCCGATGATCGGCAAACTGAGAGTGTTGCCTCCAGTTCCTGAAGTGTAAAAGGCACATTATACTGTTCTTCTCTGAGAGAAGAGAAGTCCAAGGGTGCTAACTCTCTGGCAGACTTTGAGGAAAGAAATGAGGGGCATAGATGGAGTCCCTGAGAAATACGGACCAGATGATTGCCAATTTCACTGGCAACATCTAGTGGGTTTGCTATATCAACACCGACAACCCGCAGAACAGGAGCCGGGTCAGGAGAATATTTACCACTCAGTTTCCGTACTTTTTTCCAGACTGCACTCAGAGGAAGCAGAGGTGATGGTGGAGACAATCTCGCCAGCAAGTGCGTTTAGCGTCACGGATGGCACGGCGAGCGATCGCATGCTTCTTCTTAAAATCAAGAAG